ACATGAGATACATATTTCATGTACTGCGTTTATTGTATTTAGTGCACTGAATTCAATCTACGCATTTTGTATGTTTTGGACATATAATAAATCCCGCCTGTTAAAAATGTTATATAATATATCCCAAGGGGATATACAGGGTGTTAGTTAAGTATGTTGCCATACTCAACAGAGCGATTCTTTGGCCATACTCAACGGAGTGTTTATTTAAAAGTAAAAAAGTCCATATAAACATGTATTTTAAACGGCTTAGCTTCCGAAATACGGGTGAATGTTCGCAAATATTTGACGAAACGGTAAAATTGCGTTGGAGATATCTTCCTGCATAAATATGCCTTGCTTCGCGTGAGTTACCATTCGCAGAACCCTAAACAAAGTGACAAAGTCAAAGTCAAAGCCTTCTAGATCATCAGACTTAAATCCTTTGGATTATTTCCTTTGGCAGCATCTGAAACCATTGGTTTATACCTCCAATTGAGAATGAGAATGATTTGAGGAATCGAATAGTTGCTTCATGCGAGGCAATACGTAACACACCTGGTATCTTTGAGCGTGTACGTCAATCTTTGAGAAGAAGACTCGATGGATGTATCATGGCGCAAGATGGACATATTTTCAACAATTCATCTAATTGTTTTATTTCATCAGGAGAACTGAAGCCTGTTTTTGATTAGTTTTTGACTAGTTCAATGTATTTCTTTCAAATAAACAGATTGTTATTACACATTTAAATTTTTTTATTTCGGAAACTAAGCCGTTTAGAACACATGTTTATATGGACTTTTTTACTTGAAATAAACCAAAGAATCGCTCTGTTGAATATGGCAACATACTTAACTAACACCCTGTATATGTATACAAGACAACAAACTAAACGAAGAATACAAGAGCAAAGTACTTGTATTTTGTTATGCAGCATTTATTATTTCCTCTACACTGATGTATCACGAAATAACCACTAAGTCTTTTGCACGTCCTACAATAATTATTTTATGTAGATTATAATTTATGATGGCGCTATTTAACACGATGACAAATCGATTCAATTCACTCAATAATTTCATTAATATTAACAGTAAGAAACTGAAATCATAACACAATACATACTAATATAACAGAAAGCCATATAATAGAGTATTTGCGGGAAAATTATTCCCACTCCTTCTATCTTTTCTGACTTCTGCGGCGTAAATCCCAGCGGGGCGTATTTGCCGGAGTTACCCTAATTAAAAATAACTCAAATTGACATAATAAATAAAAGTATAATTTGACATAATAAATTTAATAGTGTATAATCATTATCGGGAAAAACTTCATCTTTAAGATGTTTTTCAACATCTAAAAGATGGTTAAAAAGTTATTTCTTGGAATAACTAATCGAAGAGAAATGATGGAAACGTTCGGTCATCTCAGCCCATTTGCAAGCGTTAGTGGGCCACGAATGAAAAATATGCTGGCCATTCTTACCTGATCGCCATAAGGTAATGCGTTCGTATGCACACGTGGAAAACATTCCCGACCATTTCCTCGAAGCGAATATAACGGTGGGGAATTCGCCGTTGGTTGGTACGAAAGAATTATTATGCGAAAAGTTTTCGTATTCCTCGTTTCTTCCCTGATGGACGATTAAAAGTTCCATCCGAGTCGAATTTACAAATTCCTTCGGGGGCCTCCTTGCCGAGGCGTTGGCATTAGAGTTTGCTGCCGTCCAGCGAAATTAACCAGCCTTCTCAAGTCGCTCGAGCTAGATTAGAATTTAAATCTGCAGAAACCTTCCGCATCTAACAACCTAATTCTTTTTATAGCGATTAAACGTCAAGACGCTCGACGTGAATATTTTTTATGTGTCTAATCGATTGATAGATACCGATTGTAAGAATAATTCTAAATGAAACAATCATATAAATAAATTTCTAACTAGAATTGGTACGCTCTATTTATTTGAAAACTCTTGTAAGAAAATATGTAATTTTTATAAGATCTTTTCTTTCGCATGTCCAAAAAAAGAAAAAGTCTTTAAAATATGACTATTTCTGAAAAAATTAATAATCGAGATAAACAGAAGCAACACTTTAAACACTTTATTACTTATTCTTTTAGACAAATTTTAATAAATAGGAATTCGAGGAAGGCTAAAGATTTCAATTAATGGGCAAATCAGTACAAACTATTGTGTGCATTCACATTTTGTAAAGTAATTTACAATTAGTACTTATAAAGATAAAGTGTAACAATATGTTAAAACAAATTGAAACAGATTGAGAAAAATTCTTTTGAGTAACGTTCTCGTGAGTATATGATAATATTCAAAGAAAAGTTTCCTATCTTTTTGATAATACGTAATAAGAAAATATACAAGTTTTCTAAAAAATAAGGAAAAGGAACTTTTCGTTATATAAAAGATCTTTTTTTTAACGAATTTTGTGATATTTCAATGTATAAAATGAAATAATTCGTAAGAAATTGTCCTTATTCATTTTTATGTGTGGAAAAAATATTACAATATAAATTACATAAAAAACAAAATTCTTTATTGTCAAATTAGAGTATAACGCAAAAATTGACAAGATATAAGCATTTTTAGTAACAGGTTTATATATTTTTTTCTCTGCTATAGAATTTATAAATTAACAATTCTTTCTTAAACTTAAGCATTTATTTACTTTCTCCTGACTACTTTTGCAAAATGCGTAATTAATTCCTTCATCAGTATTTAATTATGTATTTAATTATATAATTTTAAACTTGATCAGTCTTACATCTCTTTTTTTTTATACACTAATAAAAAACATAATACTAAAAAACAGGAAAATTTTCTTAATTTTAGTAAATCATGTGTGTGCATACATCTGTGAACATAATCTTTAAAGATAAAAAGTTATAATCATTTATATGGTAGATATTCTCTTTTAATGAAAAGTTATATAGAAAGTATTTTTAATATAGAAAGTATTTTTACGATACAGTCAACGATTTTTAATTTAATTATTATTTTTTAATAATTAATAATTTTTTAAGCAAATAATTTTTCTATTAAGTAAATTAGTTTTAACTTGTGAAAACTATTTGTTACAACATAATTAATATGTACTAAATTATAGCTTTTATTTTTTACCAATTACTGATTTTGAACGCGTAAAAATAAAAAAGTATAAACTTAAATTTTGAATATCATTCTTACATTTTTTGATTCAGTATTACAAGTTACACAAAACTAAATGAAATTGTACTATCAAAATGTGTATTTTATTTATTTTCATTTTGAAGCATGGTTTGGGGCATTCGACTTCATGGTAACATTAAAATTGTTTTTAAAACACTAAATATTTGTATGATGCTGCATTTTATTCTCCTCTGTATGTTTATTTTTTTACTTGCGAGAAATATAGTATTCATCTAGCGGCGGTGCCGGCAGTAAGCGACTTTAATAAAGCATTAAAAAAAAATTAATATTAAAAAGAACTCAAAGATTAAATCAACAAAGGAAATAATAAAACCAATGAGAGCTAGCACAATAATCGGGTGTAATCCAAACACACA